GGTTGCCAACATAGAAGACCGTGCCTATACTGTACCGGTCTTGGGGGTGTATATCTGAGTATCTTTTTCAAGAAAGACACATGCTAGTGGAGGAATTAGGAGTTGTTAAATATGCCACAGACATAGAAAAAAGGAAGAGAGATAGTAACTTGAAACTGCAAGAAATGATTTTATTCTAATATTCCTTTTTTTTTTTTTGGGTCCGGTCCTGGGGACTGAACTCTGGGCCTGGGAGATGTCCCTCAGCTCTTCAGCTCAAGGTTAGTGCTCTACCACTTGAGCCACAGCACCACTTCCTGCTTTTTTCTTTTTGCTTATGTGGTGCTGAGGAATCGAACCCAGGGCCTCATGCATGCAAGGCAAGCACTCTACCACTGAGCCACCTTCCCAGCCCTATTCTAATATTCTAATATTAGAATATCCTAATATTCTAATGTAGGCCAGAAGCCACTTAGCTCTTTGAGGAAAAACTCAGAACAGCAAGTCTAGGGAAAGTGGTTAGTAGTATTCTCTACTTAGGTAGACTGGAAACCTGGACACGATTATTTTTATTTTTGGCCAGTCCTGGGGCTTGCACTTAGGACCTGGCCACTGTCCCTGAGCTGTTTTTGTTCAAGACTAGCACTTTACCACTTGAGCCACGGTACCACTTCTGGCTTTTTCTGTGTATATGGGACTTAGGAACTGAACCCAGGGCTTTATGCATGCCAGGCAAGCACTCTAACATTAAGCTGCCTTCCCAGCCCATGATTATCCTTGAAAGGATCCGTTACATCCATCCCAGGGGACCACGTGGAGGCAGACAGGCACAGGAGAAAGATTATTACAAGGTTTATTAGAGGAGCCATATTTGTCCCAGAGAGAGCACATGGCTGCCTTCACTCTCTAGGTGGCAGCAGGGTCTGAGAGGGAGGAAGTGAGGTAGATTGGAGCTCAGGTGGGTCTGGGCAGAGAGAGGGAGGGGCCAGCTGTAGGGCGGGAACTCCAGGGCAGAAGCTCAGGTTTGGGTGGAGCTGAGGACTAAAGGTAGGCATCATGCTTACCATTCTTATTGTTGTTTTCTCATATTCATGCCCTTTGCAGAGTAGATTTGAAGGTGTGTGTGTGTGTGTGTGTGTGTGTGTGTGTGTGTGTGTGTGTTCCAGTAATGGGGCTTGAACTCAGGGCCTCAGTGCTCTCACTTAGCTTTTCTCCTTCAAGGCTAGCACTCTACCATTTGAGCCATGCCTCCACTTACAGCTTTTTGCTGGTTAACTGGAGATAAGAGTCTCTTGAATTTCTCTCCCTGGGCTGGCTTTGAACTCAGATCCTCAGATCTCAGCCTCCTGAGAAGCTAGGATTACAGATTTGAATATTAGCACCTAGCCTAGGTTTTTTCTTTACTACATGGATTGTACTTGAATCTGAGCTTGTCTGTTGAGTAACATTGGCCAACAGAATGAGGTAAAAATGATGTTACATTATTTCCTAGCTTGCTATTCAAGAGGTCTTGCATGCTTCCTCTCATTTTCTAGGATTTATGCAGCCTCCACAGGAATAAGACCAGACTAGCTTCCTGGACAGTGAGAGGTCTCCATGGAGCAGCCAGTTAACTGACTCCAGTCCATCAAGGCACAAGAGCTATGCAAGATCCCTTATTTGCAATAACTAGTATATGTCTAGGACAAGCAGAAAGCTCAAAAGCTACATATGACCATATAAGATGATGTTAAGGGCTGGGAAGGTGGCTCAGTGGTAGAGCGCTTGCCTTGCATGCATGAGGCCCTGGGTTTGATTCCTAGGCACCACATAAGCAGAAAAAGCCAGAAGTGGCGCTGTGGCTCAAGTGGTAGAGCACTAGCCTTGAGCTGAAGAGCTGAGGGACAGTTCCCAGGCCCAGAGTTCAGGACTCATGACCGATAAAAAAAAAAAAAGATGATGTTAAGTGAAATGAACCCCAAGATAGGGACACAAGTGGTTTTATCTTTCTTGCTGTTGTTTTTAATGTATTTACAATGTACTATGTGATGTTTTTCCTTTGGTATGTTCTTCCCCCATAACCCCTGTTTTCACTGTATTTGATTCCGGTGCCCTGCATCTTGTATGTATATTTTTCTAATTTGAGGAGGGGGGAAGGGAAAAAACAAAATGCTTAAATAAGGATACAGGTTGACCCATTGTAACAATGAGATGCACAAGACACTATGTTGAAAACGAACTTTACAATTTGAGGGGGTGAGGGAGGAGTTTGGGCGGTGGGGAGGGAAGGGATGGTAGGGGAAAAACAAAGGAGGAAGTAACAATGCTCAATAGGAAATGCACTCATTACCTTACTCATTTAACTTTAATTCCTCTGTACAGTATCTTTACAATAAAATTATATATAAAAAAATCTATGCAAGTGCCTACATAAGCCATAAGACTCTTAACTGCCATTTACCAGCAAAAAGCCAGAAATGGAGTTGGGACTCAAGTGGCAGAGCACCAGACTTGAGCAAAAAAAGCTAAGGGACAATGCCCAGGTCTTTAGTTCAAACCTCAGTATCAGAACTACAATAACAAAATTAGCATTTGAGTCAGATTGAGTATAAAAGATGGCCCTCACTAATCTGTGGCCTCATTCCACTGATCAAGGGCCTGGATATTACCAAAAGACAGAGGAAGCTGAGTGCTTCCTATACTGACCTTTAATGTAGTTTTCATTCCAGGTTTTAACCTTTAACCAAGTTTCCAGTCTCCTAACTTCCAGATCAACTTGAACCAGGACTTATACCATTGGCTCCTCTGTTCTCAGGCCTCTGGCTTTGGACTGCATTATCTTGAGCCTCCAGCTTAAAGATGGTGGATTGCAAGAGGTCTTTGCCACAATAATCAAGTGAGAAAATCCCTAATAATAAGTCTCTTTGGGTTTGGGAAGGTGGCTCAGTGGTAGAGTGCTTGCCTGGCATGCATGAAGCCCTGGGTTCGATTCCTCAGCACCACATAAACAGGAAAAGGCAGAAGTGGCGCTGTGGCTCACGTGGTGGAGCGCTAGCCTTGAGCTGAAGAGCTGAGGGACAGAGCCCAGGCCCACAGTTCAAGCCCCAGGACTGACCAAAAGAAGTCTCTTTGTATATATCAGTGCATTTGCTGTTGACTCTGTTTCTCTGCAGAACCTGCATGTAGTGAGCATGTAGTGATCGCTTCCACTCAAGTCTGGTGTGAAGCAGTGATCTTTCCATGGCACCCAGAACTCTGGGTCAAGTCTGCTTCTCAACCTTGGCTGAAAGATGAACTGCAAGGGGAGCATCTAACTTGGAACCTGGCCTTCTGAGATTTTGCCTACTTAGCTTGTCTTGCAACAAGGAGCCAGTATGTGAAGTAGAGACCAGGAGCGAGTTGGTGGTAGATGAATGACAGTATGAAGCATAGCAAGCATTTCCCTCACTTAGTTTTTTTTTTTCTTCCCTCAGTATATCTTCACCTCAATCAAAACACAGGGTCAGATGCTGGTGGCTCAGGTCTATGATCTTAGCTTGCTACTCAGGAGGCTAAGATCTTAGGATCTTTGTTCATAGCCAGCCCAGGTAAACAAATCCTAGAGACTATAATCTCCAGTTACACACACACACACACACACACACACACACACACCCCAGAAATGGAGGTGTGGCTCAAGTGGAAGAGCACCAACCTTGAGAGGGTATGGGACATTGCCCATACCCTGAGTTCAAGTCCCAGGACCCACATGAAAAACAGAGGTTAAGATTTTAAGATAGAAAAGAGAGAAGACCATAGCTATGAATGTCCATGTAAGAGTCACAGAGATCATGGAACTAGAAGGACAAAGGCAGCTGTGTTACTCACTAGACACGATGTTGAAAATGAACTAGACCACTTGTGGGTGGGGACAGGAGGGAAAAAGTGGGAGAGAGCAAGGGAGGAGGTGACATTGTCTAAAGAGAAATGTATTCTTTATCTGACATGTAACTGCAACCCTTCTGTACATCACCTTTATAATAGCGATAATTAAAAAAAAAATAAGAATCACAGAGTTTGCTTTCGAATCCTAGCTCGGTATGATTTTGAACAAGACTTTGAACAACCTGAATTGTTGTCCTGTTAAGTTACTGACAGGATGAAATGTCAACAAAACTTAGCAGAATGCCTCTGTAAATCCTCAGTCACGTGAAGATTTACTGTTGCTACAGTCACGGTGCTGCGTAGGGCCTGGGGTGTGACGATGGTAGGTATGACCCTGTCACTCTGGTGTACCATTTTGCTCTCACACTACAGTTTGGGCCGTGTCATTTGCTTTGCCTGGTGGCTCAATGGTCAATTTGAAGCAAATGGACATATGAAAAAGAGGCTTTGCCTTTCTGATTCCATTCTTGGAACCCTGCCATGGCAGGCTAGCCCGGTGGGAGGACGTAGGAGACATGGAGGAGAGCCAAGCAGTGCCAGCTGAGATCATCAAAGGCCTGTCAACCCCTCCTCTCTCAACCAGCTAGATAACTACAGATGACTGCATGTATCCAGGAAGGCACAGCTAGACTCAGCCCAGATCAGCAAGGCCCCCTGGTCAATCCTGAGACTTAGGTGACAGAATAAAAGATTGCTGCTTGCTTTCTCTCTCTCTCTCTCTCTCTCTCCGTCCTCCCTTCCTTCTTTCTTCTCTTTTGGTTCTTGTACTAAAGCTTGAATTCATAGCCTCATGCTCTTGCTTGGCTTTGTCCACTCAAGGCTAGTGCTCTACTACATGAGCCACTTCCAATTTTGGCTTTTTGCTGATTACTTGAAGATAGGGGTCTCCCGGTTTGTCTACCAAGAGCTGGCTTGGAACCTGGATCCTCAGATCTCAGTCTCCTAAGTAGCAAGGATTACAAGTGTGAGTCACCAGTGCCTGGCTAAGATTGCTGTTTTAAGCCATTCAGTGAAGAACAACTTATTACACTGCGATCGCTGGCTGATACAAGAAACGTGATAGTTCTTGACCTCTGATTTCAAGGCAGCTACCAAACAAAGGCAAGTGAATTCAGAAGTCATAGTCTGCAGGTTTTATTTGTAGAGTGTGGTGAACTTGAACCAACAAAAGCTGTAAAAGTGGTCCGAAGAGCATCATAGGGCCGTGAGGATTACTGTGTAAAACAGACGCCTTTGTCAGACTCTAAGCGAGCTCCTCAAGTGGGAGGCAGCTGGGGACAAGCCCAGGGCAGGCAGTAGCAGGACTATCACCAGGACTGCTATAGCCAGGTCGGCTGATGCTTGGGTGGTGGCAGGATGTGCCCTCGCCTGGCAGGTCTCAGACCCTAGGGTCATACACTCTTCCCATGAAGACGGGGAACTTGTGCTCCTGATCCCACAGCAGGAAGAGGAAAGGTTGCTGCACCTCAAAGGTCAACAGGTTGCGGGCCACAGAGATGGCAGTGGCTGCAGATGCCTCCACACCGGTCTCCGTCAGCTCCACCACCGACTGGTGCTGCATCGCCGACACCTGAAGGTCTGGGTCCTCCGTCAGCCCGCACAGGTTGAGGTCGTAAGTAAAGTCAAAGAATTCTAGTCCCAAAGCAAAGAGAAACGAGAGTCAGAGACTAGGACACACTCAGAATTGATGAGACCTTTGTTTTCAATTTTCTCAGCTAATCTTGAGTTCCGATGCTTTCTTCCTTTTCCTCATTTGGTAGTGGGAATCCTATTTCAGTAGGCCCAAACTCCTCTTCCTCCTCCTCTTTCTCTTTCTCTCTCTCTGTGTCTGTGTTGCTCTCTCCTCTCCCTCACATACCCACCCACTGCAGCTTAAACTTAGCATCTAGGCATTGTCCCTTAGTTTTTTTTTTGTTGTTGTTGTTTGTTTGTTTTGGTCAGTCGTGGGTCTTGAACTCTGGGCCTGGGCACTGTCCCTCAGCTCTTCAACTCAAGGCTAGCACTCTACCAGTTGAGCCACAGCACCACTTCCGGTTTTCTGGAGGTTAATTGGAGATGAATCTCACTGGACTTTTCTGACCAGGCTGGCTTTGGACCATGATCCTTAGATCTCAGCCCCCTGAGTAGCTAGGATTATAGGTATGAACCACTGATACCTGGCTTTGCTGGTTATTTACAGACAAAAGTCTCACAGATTTTCCTGCCAGGGATGGCTTTGAATTGTGATCCTCAGATCTCAGCCTCCTGAGTAGCAAGGATTCCAGAGGTGAGTAAAAAACACTTGGCTCTAAACACCACTCTCAAAAAGAGGTGAGGGCCTTACCCCACCCACTTCCCAAATATCTCTGAAAAATGATGTCATTGATTCCTTGTCTCAAGGACCTTGGAAGAGACGTAATCTATTAGAGATAGGTCATGTGTTATAGAATGAGATCATACCCAGGGTGTGAAGCTGTGTAATAATGAAATGTATGTATATTGGTCTGTGCCCAAATTACTAATAAGGAATACCTAAAACCAATGTCATTTCATTAGCATCTTTAGTTGTAATATTTGGTCTTTGAGCCTGGTGCCTAACACTACACTCAAATTGTGTGTGTGTGTGTGTGTGTGTGTGTGTGTGTGTGTCCTGGAGTCAGAACTCAGGGCCTGGGTGCTATCTCTGAGCTTCCTCCCCTTCCTCCTCCTCTTCTTCTTTCAGTGATAGGGTTTGAAATCAGGGATTGGGTGCTGTTCCTAAGCTCTTCGGCTAGCACTCTACCACTTTGAGCCACAGCTCCATTTCTGGTTTTCTGGTAGTTAATGGGAGATACAAGTCTCATGGACTTTCCTGCCTGGGATGGCTTTGAACCGTGATCTTCAGATTTCAGCCTCCTGAGCAGCTAGTTTTACAGGCAAGAGCTACCAGTACCCAGCTACCCCCAAATCCTTTGAAACTGATTGTTGGTGGGCTCCTGGATGGGGTCTGATCTCCAGAAGGGCCAAGTCGTGATGAGAAGCTGGGAACTTTCGGCCCTGCCTAAGTCCCCTCTGGAGGTTAGAGGAGCAGTGGGGTGTCAGTAACCAATCACACCTGTGTGGTAAAGCCTCTTTGAAGGGCTTCCAGTTGGTGAAGACATGCACAGGCTGAGAGAATTGTATCAGGAGACCTTTAAGATTTTGCCTTCTGCAGAGTTTGGTAGTACACACCAGTAATCCTAGCTACCTGGGAGGGGAAGATGGGAGGATCACTGTTTGAGGTGAGCCTGAACATAAAATTTACAGAGTCCTTATCTTAAAAACAAAAAGCCAGGTGTAATAGGTTAGGCCAGTACTATCAGCCATGTGGGAGGCAGAAGTAGAAAGATCATGGTCCAAGCCGGGCGCTAGTGGCTCACACCTGTAATCCTAGCTACTCAGGAGGCTGAGATCTGAGGATCATGGTTCAAAGCCAGCCCGGGCAGGAAAGACTGTGAGACTCCTATTTCCAATAAACCACCAGAAAACTGGAAGTGGCGCTGTAGCTCAAGTGGTAGAGCGCTTGCCTTGAGCTGAAGAGCTGAAGGACAGTGCCCAGGCCCAGAGTTCAAGCCCCAAGACCAACAAAAAAAAAAAAAAAGATCATGGTCCAAGGTTGACACTGGAAAAATTAATGAAAGGGAAAAAAGGGCTGGGGGTGTGTTTCAAGTGGTAGAGCACTTGCTTAGTAAACAAGGTCATGAGTTCAAAATCCCAGTCCTGCCAAAAAAAAAAATCTTGCCAACTTGTCTTATATAGCTCTTAATCTGTTTATCTTATACTTAATTATGTAATAAGTTAGTAAACGAGTTTCTCTGAGTTTGGTCAGCCATACTAGCAAAGATTGAACCCTAAGAGAGAGTTGTGGGAATGTTTGATTTATAGCAAAATGGTGTGAACCTCTTAACTATAAGATCTGATGATCTCTGTAGATAGACAGAATCAGAGATCATGAGGGCCATGACTCTGTGAAGTAGTAAAATAATCAGCTTGCAATTCCTGAGAAAAGTAGCTAAAATCCTTATAATTTTCCTTAGCATCTTTTGTTGTAATATTTAGTCTTTGGGCTTGGTCCCTAACACTCAATTTCCAAGTCCTTTGTAACTTCTTTGGTGATGAAATAGTTTTTCCTCTAATGAAGAGACTCTTTCTGGGCTTATATTAAATCAAACTGTAGACACTGAGTCTTGCATCTGTGGAGAATCGCTTGGGGATGGGAAAAACAACACCAGAAATATTAAAATTGGAGTGTAGAGAAAAACGGCTTGTTTTTCCTACACAGATGCCCTATCCTAGGAAATGAGATCATGTGTCAGGCAGTCAAGTTTCATAACAGGAAATGAAGTGATAGATCCAGACACAAGGTCAAAGGTTAGGGAATGGAGCCTCTGTTGTCTGTCCAAAACACAGAAGCCTTCTGACCCTCCTAACCAGCTGGCTTCTCGCATTTTCCACAGGATGGTGGACTTCCATGAAGGTGGCTGGGGTAGGAGCATATGCAGCCATCTTGGTCACCTTTCTTAGGATCTACGTGAATCACAGTGGAAGCAGCCAAGAGAACTAGAGATCTAGGCTGGTCTTCTGGTTTGCCATTAAGTAGCTTAAGAGTAACATAAAAGTGTCTCGGTTTCCTCAATGATCCAATGAAATAATAGCACTGTTTTTTTTTTTTTAGATGGTTGTGGGGCCTGAACTCTGGGCCTGGGCACTGTCCCTCAGCTCTTCAGCTCAAGGCTAGCACTCTATCACTTGAGCCACAGCACTACTTCCGGTTTTCTGGTGATTTATAGGAGAGAAGAAACTTTCCTGCCCAGGCTGGCTTTGAACTGAAATCCTCAAATCTCAGCCTCCTGAGTAGCTAGGATTATAGGTGTATACCAGTGGCACCCTGCAGCATTTGTATTTTTAATCTGTGTGTGTGTGTGTGTGTGTGTGTGTTTAGCACTTGTGTGCATCTGTGTGCCAGTACTGAGCAGTAGGTGCGGTCCTTTAGCATTTTTGCTCAAGGCTGGCTAGCACTCTACAACTTGAGCCACAGCTCTGCTTCCAGCTTTTTGAGGTTCATTGGAAAAAGTCTCAAATACTTTCCTGCCTGGGCTGGCTTTGAACCACAATCCTTAGATCTCAGCCTCTTTTCTTTTTTCCAGTCTTGAGGCTTGAACTCAGGGCTTGGGCACTGTCCCTGAGCTTCTTTTGTTCAAGGTTAGCACTCTACCACTTGAGCCACATCTCCCCTTCTGGCTGGGGAATCAAAACCAGGGCTTCATGCATGCTAGGCAAAAACGAAGACACATTCCCAGCTCCTAAATCTCAGCCTTTTGCATAGCTAGGATTACAGGTGTGAGCCCTGGCTCCCTAGATCATAGGTTTGTGAGATAATTTGGGATTACAGAAGAATGCAAATTGCATTTTAAGGTACCTCCCACCCCCCCTTTCCTCTGATGACCTAGGATCACCGCAAACTGCCAGGGCTCACCCAATTTCTCCATGATCGACAGCATATCTTGACTGTTCTTCACTTTGATGCGGGGCATCATCAGGTATGTGGGCTGGAACTTGGACAGCTCCAGCTTCTTCATGATGGCCTTGAACACAGCGGGACTAAGAGCCTGCTCCATGTCTTCCAGATGGTATCTCAGGTTCTGGGGCACCATGATCACAAAGCTCATGTTGTGAGAGAGCTGCAGCTGCCCCACCTAGGGAATAAGAAATGGGCTTTTGCAGTCTTCTTACCCCAGAACTCTCTGGATCTCCACCCTCAGTGTACCAGGGCTGTCCTTTGGCTTATCCTAGTCCAACAACCAGCGGCCAGACCTCACCTAGCTGTGTGACTTTCTCTGAAATGGGGATGCTAACTTAGTCCAACTGAAAAGTGATGGTCTAACTGTGCTGGGGAGACACAGAAGAACAAGTACACATTTCTGATTGGTCGCTCACTGCGGTGTACTAGCTATGTAATCACAGCCAGAGAGGTGGTTGCTGGGTCCTATTCTCTTCTACCCAAAAGTGTTAGTTATGGAATATACAACCTGTATGTGCCATCAGAGTTATTAGTCTCTTCAAAAACTTATTTTTGGGGGCAGGAGAGGAAGGAGCGGTACTAGAGCTTGAACTCACACTTCATAGGCAGGACTGACCACTTACACTATGTCTCCAGGGCTTTATGCTTTTATTATTTTTTGAAATAGAGTTTTTCTTTTTCTTTTTTTTTGCTGGGACCAGCTTACACTACAATCTTCCTATTTATATTTCCCTCCATAATTGGGATTATCAGCATTGCTATCCAGCTTTTTCTGTTAAGATGAGGTCTTGAGAACTTTATCCCCGCTGGCCTTCAGTCTCACTCTTCTCAATCTTAGCCTCCTGAGTACCTAGGATAACAGGCATGAACCGCCCTGCCAAACTCCCTTTAAAAATTTATTTTTTTGGGGGGGGTCTGGTTGTGGGGCCTGAACTCTGGACCTGGGCACTGTTCCTCAGCTCTTCAGCTCAAGGCTAGCACTCTACCACTTGAGCCACAGCTCCACTTCCGGCTTTTTTCTTTTTGCTTATGTGGTGCTGAGGAATCGAACCCAGGGCCTCATGCATGCAAGGCAAGCATTCTACCACTGAGCCATCTTCCCAGCCCCTCCCTTTAAAAACTTCTGATGGATACTGTGAATTTCCGGAAATTATGTAATCACTTAATCACAATCAAAAAAAAAAAAAGAATCTCGGGGAAGGGAGGGAGGGAAGGGATGGTAGGGGGAAAACAATGGAGGGGGTAACAACGTTCAAGAGGAAGTATACTCATTACCTCACTCATGTAACTGTAACCCTCTGTATAGTATCTTTACAATAAAAAAAAATCGTAAAACAAAACAAAACAAAACTTCTGATAGTTCATGAGATTAAGTACCAGTTTCTTTAGTGTGTCATTCTCATAGTATGCTGATCTTAGCCTGTCTTTCCAATTTGCCATCAGCAAGGTTTTCAACTGATGGCCAAAAAGTACTTAAGAAGTGCAGGACCCGTGGTGCTGTTTCAGGAACAGCAGGCATTTGGTTGCTATGTGGTGGTGGTGGGGTGCCAGGGCTACTGGCCTCCATCCAGTAGAACAAGAGTGACTGGACACTCACTAGTGTAATCTCACTCACACCTGTAATCCTAGCTACTCAGGAGGCTGAGGTCTGAGGTCTGAGGATCTCAGTTCAAAGCCAGCCTGGGCAGGAAAGTCTGTAAGATTCTTATCTCCAATAAACCACTAGAAAACTGGAAGTAGCGCTGTGGCTCAAGTGGTAGAGCTCTAGCCTTGAGCTGAAGAGCTGAAGGACAGTGCCCAGGCCCAGAGTTCAAGCCCCTCAACTGACAAAAAAAAAACCAACAACAACAGCAAAAAGCCAGGTGCTGGTGGCTCACGCCTGTAATCCTAGCTACTCAGGAGGTTGAGATCTGAGGATCATGGTTCAAAGCCAGCCCAGGAAGGAAAGTCTGTGAGACTTTCCTCTCCAATTAACCACCAGAAAACAGGAAGTGGCCCTGTGGCTCAAGTGGTAGAGCGTGTGCCTTGAGCTGAAGAGCTCAAGGACAGTGCCCAGATCCAGAGTTCAAGCCCCATGACCGACAAAAAACAAAACAAAAAACAAAAAAAACAAGAGTGAAGGTAAATTCTACAATGCATAGGGCCCCTCGCTCTATGGTGAATGTCAGTGTTAAGACTGAGAAACCCTAGTCTAATAAGGCATCAGACTATCATTAAATTACATTATGGTTGAAGTTGAAAAATGGTCAGGAAGAACATAGAAGAATTTTGGATTCAATTAGGCAACAAAGAAATGAACTAACACAGAATCATTGTTGAGAATCTGGAAACATGGCCCAGAGAAGCAGGTTGGAAAAAGGAATTAACTTGGAAGGGTGAACATGGGTTCCCTGACGACAGAACCTAAATAGAGTTTATTCCCCAGAGTACAATGAATGCTTTAAGTTCTACATACAGCTGGGCACTGGTGGTTCACTTTGTTTTGCATCAAATTGCAGCAGAGATGAATCCTTGCCTTACCAAGGCTGGAGGATGGAGGAGAAAAGGTTAACAGTGGCAACACACATGGAAGGAACAGAAATAGTAAATTTCTAAGAGTATACCACCAAATAAGGGGACCATAGCAGGAAAGAGACATTCTGCTAGATCTAAAATGGGAGTGAGGTGAGTCAGAAATTTACCTTAGCCTGCAAAGTTGGGTCAGTAAAATGAGCCACAGGGTATTTCTTGCTACTCATCATTGCCACTTGTATCACAGAGTTTTTGACATGGAAGGTCTCCATCTTTTTCTTTTGACCAAATGCTTTCTTCCACTTGGCTAAAGGGAAGAGAGAGGGAGAGAAAGAAAGAGAAAGAGAGATGTAAGGGAGGAAAGAAAGGATACTGAGGAGTATAGGAGTCCTGTTCTCAAATGCGTGGGACAGGTGCTTGGGGATGCCTTGAACAGGTGCATTGAACGTGGCGGGTGGAGTGGACTTGAAGCTGAACAGGAGAGGAAGCACTCAGAAGGAGCATACTACCCGGCTGAGGTCTCCCTTACCACTCAGATAGACAGCGTTGAGTAGGACCAGGTGGGTGTCGGAGGGCAGGCTGTCAAGCAGCTGGCTGATCTTGTGGTTGGTGTTCTCAGCCACCCATGTGTTGATGAGCTCCAGGTTGGCATCACTGTCATTGCTCAAGGCTCTGGGGCTGCTGCCATACAGGCTCTGAGAGATATTCACAAAGGTGTCCCTTATGGCCAGGTCTAAGTGGTGGGTAAAGAGAAGGAGGCATAAGGCCCTTGCATGTCTCCACTCCTTCCAAGAACAAGCTTCAAGACTGGGGGCACTGGACCCGTGGCTCTGGACACTAACTCCGGTGAACACCACACCTTATTATCAAGTTAATAGCATGATACGTGTAAATGGTAATGGCGTTATTCAACTCCAAAGTACAAAGAATGAGAGTCCTAAGACTCAATCTACAAGTGAGCACTATAAAAAGTTTTTTTTTTTTTTTAGCCAGGCACCAGTGACTCACACTTGTAATCCTTGCAACACAGGAGGCTGAGATCTGAAGATTGAAAGGTTCAAAGCCAACCCTGGCAGGAAAGTCCATGAGACTCTTATCTCCAATTAAACCACCAAAAAGCCAGAAGTGTAGCTGTGGCTTATCTGGTAGAGACCTAACCATGAATGAAAAGACTAAGGGACAGCATTCAGGTCTTGAGTTCAAGTTCTAATACTGGCACATACTCCCCGAATTTTTTTTTAATGTTTCTAGATCTCAAGCCATCTAATATTTCTAATTCTCTAGCCACCTAGTTCTATCTGCTAATACACATACAAGGACATTCTTATTCTAAAAGGAGTAGATGTAGACAAAGACTTGCCCAGGTGTCCTGTAGAGGACAGTCCGGTTCCTGGAGCCATCTGGCACTTCTGCCAAGGCCCTCAGCTGCCCTTACCCCCACCCCCGACTCAGCTCTCTATCCTGTCTTCCCCAGAGAATTGCAAAGACTCTCTGACTTCTGGGAGAATGTTCTCAGGAAGCCCCTTCTTGGCTGCCGCCTTCCCTGACACTCACCTGGGCTGTGGAAGATCTGAGAGACGGAGTTGACACCTTTGGACATGAAGGCCTTCAGCGCCTGGTGCACACAGGCAAAGTCCTTGGGGTAGGAGAGGACATTTTCCAGGTTGCTCTTGGTGCTGTCCCCAGCCCCTGCAACAAAGGACAGAGACGAGGAGGAGAAGCAAGGCACCCATCACTTGGGAGTAAGGTGGAAAATCTGGCTTACATGGAGGAGGTTCCCAGTCATGCAGGGATCAGAGATCACCAGAGCTGGAAGTTTTCTCTTGGAAGATAGTGTGCATATATATATATATATATATATATATATATATATATATATATATATCAGATACATATATATATATCAGATACAAGAGGGGCGGGGCTGGAAAGGTGGCTCAGGGGTAGAGGCCCTGGGTTCAATTCCTCAGCACCACATAAGCAGGAAGTGGCACTGTGGCTCAAGTGGTAAAGTGTTAGCCTTGAGCTGAAGAGCTCAGAGACAGCGCCCAGCCTCAGAGTTCAGGCTGCACAAACGCTAAAAAAAAAAATCACAATATATCAAATCCTCTAGTGTAAAAATACCTTATATTTGTTTTATAATATACTATACTATGTTAGGTTATCTTTTTTTTTTTTTTTGTCAGTCATGGGGCTTGAACTCAGGGCCTGGGCACTGTCCCTGAGCTCCTTTGCTCAAGACTAGCACTCTACCACTTTGAGCCACAGCACCACTGCTGGTTTTCTTGTGGAGATAAGAGTTCCATGGGGGGTTGGGAAGGTGGCTCAGTGGTAGAGCGCTTGCCTCGCATGCATGAGACCCTGGGTTCAATTCCTTAGCACCACATAAGCAGAAAAAAGCCAGAAATGGTACTGTGGCTCAAGTGGTAGGACGCTAGACTTGAGCTGAAGAGCTGAGGGGCAGCACTCAGGTCCAGAGTTCAGGCCCCACAACTGACCAAAAAAAAAAAAAAAAAGAGCTCCAGGGGGACTTTTCTGCCCAGGCTGGCTTTGAACCTGATCCTCATATCTCAGCCTCCTGAGTAGCTAGGACTATAGGTGTGAGCCAAGACAACTGGCTTCAGATCTGTTTTTAAATTATGTTGCTATAGAATGCTTTCTTTCCAGAGGACAGTTGAGAAGAACCTTGCTGTTTCTGGGGTGTTCTTTTTTTCTTTTTCTTTATTTGCTAATTGATGTGTTAGATATGTCTACAATTTTGTTCAGATGGCTGTAGAAACTGGAAAAGCTGTTGTTGCTATTCATGCACACACAGTGCTATTATTGGTTTTCTCATATAAAGATAAATATGAATACATATAATTTCATTTTTGGAAATTTAAACTGAGCTGTCAACTTTGGAAACAGCATCCTCCTTTATTATGTTGAATTCGCATTATACAGAAATGAATAGCCATATCAGTCAAGAAATGTTAATTTGTTTCCCTATTTGTGCAGGGTTAATTCACTGTATTAAATAATGTAAGCTTTTGGTTGTTGTTGTTTTTTTTTTTTTTTTTGTCACAGGGCTTCAACTCTGGGCCTGGGCACTGTCCCTCAACTCTTCAGCTCAAGGCTAGCACTCTACCACTTGAGCCACAGTACCACTTCCGGTTTTCTGGTGGTTAATTGGAGATAAGAGTCTCACTTTGAACAGCAATCCTCACATCTCAGCCTCCTGAGTAGCTACGATTACAGGCGTGAGGCCCTGGGGCCCAGCCTTATTTATTTATTTTTTTAATAGGAAAAATCTCTTTGGGGGAAGGGGGGGAGGAGGGAAAGTAAAAGAAAAATAAAGGAAGGGGTAACAAGTTTGGTGTACTTATTACCTTACTTATGTAACTGTAACCCCTTTGTACATCCCCTTGACAATAAAAAATCCTTTGAAAAGAAAAAAACCCTCTTATTTCCATTTCCTGGAGTTCATTTCAATAAATATTATTTTATATGATCAGATGCACATAGGCATTGCACCTTTGTGATCCTCTTCTAAAAGTATCCTCATTTAGTCTCACTGTGTGTGAATGTCTAAAGTCTTGTATAATTTATAATGTCCAGTGTATTTTGGATTTAGCTTCCACATATGAGACAAAACACACACCATTTGTCTCTCTGAGCTGGACTCACCACATTTAACATGATTTGTTCTAGGTCCATCCATTTAATATGTAAGATTTTATATACACAAGCTTTTAAAAAAATTTCAGAAAGTACTAAAGCTATTCTCAAAATGAAAATAAATGAAAAATGAACTAAGGCTGGTGGCTCACATCTAGCTACTCAGGAGGTTGTGATCTGTGGATCGCAGTTCAAAGCCAGCCCAGGCAGGAAAGTCTATGAGACTCTTATCACCAATTAACCAGCAAAAACCTAGATGTGGAGGTATGGCTCAAGTGTCTGAAGTCAAGTTGGTGAAATTATGGGATCTATGACCTAGACAGAGATCAAAGTCTTACCAAGTAGGACCTGCGTGAGGAGACTGGCGATGCTGAATGGGGAAAAGGCCATGTTGGTCTCAGTGTTCTTGGTGGCTGAGAAGGCATGGTAGAGCTTCAAGGCAAAATCAGTTAAGGCCTCCCCCAATGTAGCCTTCGCTGACTCCATGTCCCAATCAGAACAGAGAGTAACAGGCTCTGGGCAGGTGGGCTGGCTCGGGGAGTCTGGGGGAAACTGGGTAGTTGGCTGAGTATACTGGGTGAAGGACTGGTTGGTGGGTTCAATCGTGGTATCAGTTGTAATTTCAGTGGCTGAGTCAGTTGTGGATGTGCTTGTTGAGTCAGTTGTTGGCTGCTCAGTTGTTGGACTGGTAGAAGACTCCTTGATGTGTTGAGTGGATAGAGTGGGAAGACTCTGGAAGACATTTCTCTCTAAGATCATGCCATCGTTTTCTTCCTGAGTGCTCTCTGGATCCTTGGGACTCTGACTGGTAGCATTTGGAATTGAGGAGGCTCTATCCTGTGGTTTAAGAAACTGGGTTTCAGTGGGGCTGTGGCTCAAGTGGTAGAGCCCCAGTCTTGAGGAAAAAAGCAAGAGTTTGAGGTCCTGAGTTCAAGCCCCAGTACTGGCACACACACACACACACACACACACACACACACACACACGAAAAGACAAACTGGATTCCATTTTCTTACTGAGTGAAAGTCTCCTCAAACACAAATCAAGGCAAGAAAAAGAAGATGCATAATCTGGCTTTCTGGGGGGGGCCTGAGACCACCCAGTGCTGGAGGGGGATACTCTTTGCAGAAGGTGGAGGAGTGAAAAGGGATTGATTACCTTTGTCCAGTTTCTAATACGTAGGACATTGTTCTTTTCTCTCTGTCTCTGCAGGTCTCTGTCTCTCTCTGTCTCTGTCTCTTTCTCTTTTTCCTCCTCCTCCCTCTTCCCTTTTGTTTGGGGGGTGAGGGGTCCGGTCGTGGGGCCTGAACTCTGGGTCTGGGTGCTGTCTCTCAGCTCTTCAGCTCAAGGCTAGCACTCTACCACTTGAGCCACAGTGCCACTTCCGGCTTTTTTTTTCTTTCTGTTTATGTGGTGCTGAGGAATGGAACCCAGGGCCTCAGGCATGCAAGGCAAGCGCTCTACCACTGAGCCACCTTCCCAGCCCCCCCCCCCTTCCCTTTTTTAAAGGCAAGACCTTGGAGTAGAACTCACGATGGAGTTCAGGTTGGTCCTGAACTTGCAGTCCTGCCTTAGCTACCACTTCCATACCAGGAAGTTGCTTTTTTGGAAATATTTCCCTGATTTACTGGGTGCTGGTGGCTCATCCCTGTAATCCTAGAATCCTGGCTACTCCCAGAGGCTGAAGTCTGAGGATCAAGGGTGAAGCTAGCTTGGGGAAATAAATTCCACCCCCCCCCAAATTTTATCTCCAAGTAACCTGCAAAAAGCTGGAAATGTAGGTATAACTCAGATAACAAAGCACCAGCCTGAGTAAAAAAGCCAAGCAAGAGTGCACGGATCAGAGTTCAAGACCCTGTACCCACCCCTACAAAAAACATGTAACTGACTTGATTTACTTGCTTGGCCAATACAGACATATAGACATGTGAATTTTCACATTATATGTTGTAATCCACTAATGGATATTGAAAACAATTACCCTTCCCAAAAGAAGGACAGAGAAAGGGAGGGAAGGATATGGAGGAGGCTGAGAAAAAATAATATAGACCATTGGCTCTGAGTGACAATTTTGATTCCCAAAGAACACATAGCAATATCTGGAGTCAGTTTTGGTGGCTTTAAGACCCCGAAGGAGGAGGGAAGATGTTACAGAAAGCTAACAGGGGGGCCAGAGATGAAGACCAGAGGTACTACCAGGCATCTGACACAGTAGAGGAGGACAGTCCCTCTTGGGCAAAATATCCGTCCCAAATGTCAGTTTCCTCCATGAGAAACCATCTTACTAGCCCCATTTTGCAAATCGGAAAATTGAGTCTAAAACATATAAAGTCTGAGGTTTCACAGAAATGGGAGGAAAAGGTCTCTGATTTTAATTCCTCCTTGCTCATAACTGCATTCTAACTACTTTCTAGGGGTCTGACGAGGCCAGCTTACACACAGAACACATACTAAAAACTCAGGGGAACAAGCTTTCATCCTTCTCCTGGGCTCCTCTGTGTGTGTGTGTGTGTGCATGCGCGTGTGCACGCTCGCATACATGTGTGCACACAGGTCCTGGGGTTTGAACTCAGGGCCTCTCTTCCTCTGCTTATTCGCTCAAAGCCATACCAGCGCTTCTAGGTTTTTCCTGCTTAATCTGAGACACAGGTCTCTTAGATTTGTCTTCCAGGGTTGGCTTCAAACCTTGATACTCAGATCTTAGCCTCCTGAGTAGCTAGCTCAGAATTATAGGGGAGAGCCACCAGCAACCAGCAACCGGTCCCCCCCCATACTTTTTATGCATGGCCTCCACACCACTGGGACCTCCACCCCTCCCCCATCCCCCACTGTATCTGGTACCAATACCTGTTTCTCACAGTCCCTCACCGCCCCCCAACCCCAATCTGCAAAGCCTGTCACTGAGACTGTCTCTGTAACAACCCCTGGCTTTTGCTCAGCTCTGCCCTCTGGGGATCTTTTTGCTAAGCCTAGCTGGTGGACAGGGTAGGGGTCAATTTATTCTCTTTTCTATAGACCAAGACAAGGAGCCTGGGAGAAATGATTATTCTGAGGCCACCCAGCTAGTGTACCCACCAGACAGAACCTACCTCAGCCCCTCAATTTTCCACACCTGTGAATGCAGGAGGGAGGCCCCCCCCCCCACACTCTCTTGGCCAAATCCCCGAGAGGAACTCCCCTCACTCCTCGGAGCCTCAAGGGTTAACTTTCCAATTTCCCCCACCCGGGAGGGGGCCCCTTACCTCAGCCAGCAGCAGCCACAGCAGAAGGAGGGTCAGCCGGGTTAGCCTGGAGGCCATCTGGGAGGCAAAGTTAGCCACGGCAGGCCTGCAAAGCCAGTCTGTGTCAGAGGCAGCAGAGATCCCCAGAGTTGGGGAGGTTGGGGGGGGGAGAAGAGGAGGCCTCCACCCCATCTCGGGGTCCGCCCCCATTCCTTTCCGGGTCTCAGCCCTTGTCAGCGAATTCCCACCCCTTTCTCCCTGGCTCCACCTTCTGTTCTTCTGTTTTGTTTTCCCCAAACTGCTTCCCTTTTTCCCGTCAGGGTCTGGCTCATCTTCTCCCTCCTGGCCGGGGACTCTGTCCATCTGTTCAATCATGGGGGGCAGGGGGAGGGGGGTAGCTGGGAAGGGGTCCTTCCTTAGGCAAACAATAAGGACTGAGCAATAGGGAGGGGTGGCCTATGGGGGCGCCCCCCCTCTGGGCACAACAGCTCTGAGGGAAGAGGAGAGGGCAGGGGGAGGAGGGAGAGGGCCTCAAGTGGAAGTAAGTTTGTACCAAGTGCGGAGATATAAAAAGGGACATCATGGTACCAGTTCTCACCCCCAGCAGCCAACCTGAGCCCAACTCTGGTCACCAGGCAGCTTCTGGGCAGACAGAGTGGACAGTCCAATGGGGTCAGTGACTGTGGGGGATGGGGGGCAGCCTTAGCTATTGGCTGGCTCAGGACACGGCCCAGTTACAAATTAAGGATGATTGATCGATCAGTGGTGTGAATTCCTGTAAAGCAGGAGGGAACAGGGCCCAGTGGACAGGCTTTGGCCATTCCTGGCCTAGGAATTACCCTCCAAGCCCTCCCCCCCGCCCAAGTCCTGCTGAGGGGTGAAGGAAGACTTGAGGTAGAGCCACTGAGCCCCAAGCAAACCACACTCCCTCCTGTGTCCCGACTTCTGTGTCAGGATTATACCAGCAGGATCACAAACATGTGCTCCGTTGAGGGGAATGCCCTTTTCCGGAATCACTGGTCTTGGTGGGTTGGCAGTTGTAGTCTCTTTTTGGAAACAGGCCTCATTGGGTCCAGTTGATAAACCAGGACTTAGAGCAGTGAAATAAATGTCTGGCTCACAGTCAGCAGCACTTGGGAGATTAGTTTGGACTTGGAACTAAAGCCTCTCTAAAGTGCTAACCTCTGTCCCCTCCCTCCACCCCCAAGTCTCTGGAGGATGGTACTCTGATTTTTCTCTTAGAGATACTGTAACCAGTGGGGTTTTTTTTTGCTTTTGTATAACAAAAAGGAAATTGGAGGTTTATTGTTTACTAAGCATTTGCCTTAAGATAAAACTTGAGCCCTAGGTTCAAACCCCAGAATGGGAAAAAAATCAAAACAAAACAACCAACACCCCCAGAATAACCACTACCTTCAACACAAACTCTGAAAGCTGAAGTGTGTTTTGTGTTTGTTCTGGGGTGCCACAACACCCCTGGCCGGGGGACTCAGCTTTCTGCTGAGACCCTGGCAAGTTTACTTGCCTACTGACTGGTACTTGGCTGTACCCTCAGAGTGGCCAGATAAAATACAAGAAGCCCAGTTACATTAGAAACAACAGCAACAAACTTTGGTCTAAGTTTATCCCACGCAGTCTTAGAATAGAATAATTTGCTGTTAAATATGTGCCGTGTAAATTTAAGGGAACATTCTGTTTTATTTGCAGAATCTGACAACACAAGGGGGTTCTCTCAGATGATCTAATGAAGCCCTGATATTCTGCAATCCTTTTCCTGCAGGACTGACCTCTATGGTACATTGAGGAAACTGCTAGTTACATCAGATCTACTTCTATTTTTATTTGTTTTTGTGCCAGTCCTGGGGCTTGAATTCAGGGCCTTGAGCATGCTCAATGCCTAGCGCTCTACCACTTGAGCAACAGTTCCACTTCTGACATTGTGATGGTTAATTGGAGATAAGAGTCTCATGGACTTTCCTGTCCGGGCTGGCTTTGAACTGCGATCCTCAGATCTCAGCCTCCTGGGTAGCTAGGATTACGGGTATCAGCCACCAGCAAGATCTGCTAGTTTAAGCAGTAAAAAAGTAGTACCGCTTTTTCAAGTAGATCTATCACTTGGGGGATTCAGAGGAAGTCTGAGCCATGGATTCTGGGAGGTAGATGAGCCAAACCAAAAGCAGGGGTGGGGGAAGACCCCAACATTCACTGAGTGCCTTCTACATGTTTATGTCCAGCTTCTCATGACACTTCTGTAAGTGGCACTAATATTAATGCTATCTTTAATGAGGGTTTTTGTGGGGTTTTTGTTGTTGTTTTAAATGAAGGCCAGGCGCCGGTGGCTTATGCCTCTAATCCTAGATACTCAGAAGGCTGAGATCTGAGGATCAAGATTTGAAGTGCTGGGGCTAGGAAGGTGGCTCAGTGGTAGAGCGCTTGCCTTGCATGCCTAAGGCCCTGGGTTCGATTCCTCAGCACCACATAAGCAAAAAGAAAAAAGCCGGAAGTGGTGCTGTGGTTCAAGTGGTAGAGTGCTAGCCTTGAGCTGAAGAGCTGAGGGACAGCGCCCAGGCCCAGAGTTCAGGCCCCACGACCAGACCCCCCCAAAAAAAGATTTGAAGTGTTGGAAACACACAATGACTCTCTGATGTCAGAAAGGAATAGACATATAAGAGATACAGGAGATTTCATGAAGGCAATTTACTTTTGCGAAAAAGATGCAATACTGTTACTCTACCCAGAGCTAGGCAGGCACACAGGGCAGGGCAGTTTCTTAGGCTTTTATCCCAATCCAAACCATCCCTCCTTGTCCAGGAGTTAGGCTCACATTGGGGCTTGAACTCTGAGCTTGGGCGCTGTCCTTGCTCTCTTCAGCTCAAGGTGAGCACTCTACCAATTGAGCTACAGCGCCACTTCCGGTTTTCTAGTGAACTAATGGAAATAAGAGTCTCATGGACTTTCCTGCCTAGGCTGGCTTTGAACCGTGATCTTCAGATCTCAGCCTCCTGAGTAGCTAGGATTACAGGTGAGAGCCACCAGCAACTGCAAGGAGGCTATTCTTTAATCTTATTAAGTTTAGGGCTGGGAATGCGGCTTAGCAGTAGAGTGTGTTTGCCTAGCAGGCATGAAGCCCTGGGTTAGATTCCTCAGTACTACATAAGCAAAAAGAAAAAAGCCGGAAGTGGCGCTGTGGCTCAAGTGGTAGAGTGCTAGCCTTGAGCTGAAAAGCTGAGGGACAGTGCCCAGGCCCAGAGTTCAGACCCCACGACTGGACCAAAAAAAGAAAAAGAAAAAGCAGTCTTTACTGTCAAAGTCAAGTGCTTCTGTTTTGCATATAGTATTGGCATTTCCTGGAATCCTTTGCTTTTTTACTTCAGCGGTAACTATTATCTGTATTGTGTGTGACCAGCCAGCCACGTGAGAAATGGGAATCTTCTGTCAAAGTTAAAAGAATAAACTACCACTGAGCCACCTTCCCAGCCCCTAAGACTGCTTTTTCTTATGGAATCCATCCAGAAAACTGTGCAAGACTCTTCATCTCCAATGAACCACCAAATAAGCCAGAGGAGGCGCTCTGGCTCAAGTGGTAGAGCACCAGCCTTGAGCAAAAAAGCTAAGGGACAGCACCCAGGCTCTGAGTTCAAGCCTAAGTACTGACACACAGACATACAAACACAGAGAGAGAGAGACACACACACACACAGACACACACAGAAGCTCAGAGAAATGACTCTATCACTATCCTGTGGCTTCCATTTTCATTCTATTGATACTAGTTTTTGAGAACAAAAGAATATTCACTGCAACATGGTTAAATGCATAGCTCTTTCTCTGGATGGTTAGTATGAGAATTTATATATATATATATATATATATATATGTTCATTTATCACTTTTCCATCTATAATGAAGAATATATTCTCCCATATTACCATCTACTTTACTTACGGTTTTGGGTTACAATCCACTTGACTGCTTTTTATTTTATTTATTTATTTTTTGCTGGTCCTGGGGCTTGAACTCTGAGCTACTAGTCTACCACCTGAGCCACAGCGCCACTTCTTTTTCTGTGATTAATTGGAGATAAGAGTCTCGTAGACTTTCCTGCCTGGGCTGGCTTTGAACTGCAATCCTCAGATCTTAGTTCCCTGAGTAGCTAGGATTACAGGAATGAGCCATGGGACCTAGCTCACTTCATTCTTTTTAAGGGGACAACTTCATATTTGTGTGTGGCTGAATATCAAATTTTGACAGCACCATTTATAAGTTTTGATATTTGGTAGACCTTTTTTCTATGTATCTACTCTCCTCCATCTTCCTCTTCTTTCTCCTCCTCTTCTTCTTCCTTCTTACGTTTCTTGAAGACATCCTAAGGATGGAATCCAGAATCTCATTCTGGGTTTACTCCTGAGCTACATCTCCAGCTCACTTTCTGCAAGTGTGTGTGTGTGTGTGTGTGTGTGTGTGTGTGTGTGTGTGTGCTGGCGCTGGGACTTGAACTCAGGGCCTCATGCTCTTCTTTGGTTAATTTGTCCAAGGCTAACACTTTACCACTTGAGCCACAGCTCCATTTACTGCTGTTTACCAGTTAATTGGAGATAAGAACTTCACAAACTTTTCTGTCCAGGCTGACTCTGAGTAACTGGGATTACAGGTGTGAGCCACTTGGGGTTCAGCTATGTTCTGTAAATCTTGAGCCCTGCATTTCCATGTATATTTAGAACCAGCTTGTCAGGTTCCACAAATAAAATAACTATAGATTAAGGTGTTGAATCACACATTAGTGTCACCTGCTGACTTTTGTTATGGCTGAGGGTACAGGGAAGGGGGAGGCACTAATGGAGATTTCCTTTGTTGTGATCCAGGCTCAGAATTCTTGTCTGCCTTGTGGGAGATTTAGACACCCTTTCTGGTCAGTGTAACTTCTTGTCAACACACAGCAGAAACTCAGTAGATACTTGTTAAGCAACTGAGTGGGTGAGGTCAGTTGATATTGGCCATCAAGGACACAGATTAAATTGTCCAACTGTGCCTTCTAACAATTTCTTTCTCTTACACATCCATCCCTATGATGTCTTCTGGCGGAAGTCTTCAGGAGGCTGGTGGTGCCTGTTACCTCCTCTAAGTAGCTGATAAGAATAATTGAGTTGAGTTATTTTGTAAT